TATTTTATTGCAAGAATTTTGTGTTTTCTGTATTGTATCAGAAATCTTTCCTTTTCTAACATTCACACCTAAGACTCGCCACCCTCATTCTCTTTGCATTCCATTTGTAAGATGTAAGTTCCAGTTGAGCAGCTTCTTTCCCCAAGAACCGCTGCTTTGTGGAACCAACTCCCTGTTCAAGTCTAAGTTTAGCCGTTATCTTCTCCATATATCTTCTTAATCTATAACCCTCATTCCCTAGTTTAAAAATCTACCTTGAGTGGCTTTTGAGCCTTTTACAGAGTGAACATCATTGTAAACTTTTATTAAGAAATTATCTTTGGAAATGAGTTATGGTTAATGAGCCACACACTATGAATAGTGAATGTCTTAATGTCTCCAGTGCAATCCTATAAGAATGTGACACACACACGCACACACAACCCACACGCACACACATAAATACACAAAAGATCACTGCAATCTTAACGTGTTTATGTCTAGGGCTAACCGTTATCTTCCCCCACATAACCCCATGAACTCTGCTTCTTATACTGTAACCCTCTACATCGAGCGGCTCACGGGCCTTCTACGGAGGGAACATCATTGTAAAAACAATATATCATGATGAAACACCGGTAGTCGTAGAGACACCGAAGTTAAGCAACGTCGAACCTGGTCACTACCTAGATGGTGACCTCTTGAGAATACCATTTGCTATAAGCTTGGAGGTGTGGGTGGTGTAATGGATAATGCCACGAATTTAGAATTAGAACTAGAATTTTTCATTAGTCGGACTGGTATCAATAAATCACTATCTCCAAAAAATTCTTAAAATCTAATTATATTTCTGGCTTTAAATAACCTTCAAATGGTTGATAAACTGTAAAAAAAACATATCAATCAATTACCTATGTGTTATAGTGGAACACACATATTCTATAGTTAATAACTCTCCCACCTATAATAAGTATGAGTAGTAAGAGTAACGAGGGGGTCGCTCAGTGAGGCGGTCAGTCAGTTGATGCCGTACGACAATTAGTCGGATACTAAAGTATCAGCGACCACAACTAGATTACTCTGCGTCATACCTATTATATCAAGTTCCTAACGTTTTGTACGTCGAACCTATTTTAGGACCGGCTTAGTACAAATACAAGCCTCCACTGTGAAAATCACGCCACAAGAATATGTATTAGTTGTAAAATACTGACAGTAAAAAGAGTTTTATCACTTGAAAACATTAAGACTTTAAACAAATACACTCTGATTTACACTATTTACATCGTTGTCTAGGTCTTTATTGCCATATTAACAACGTTTCGACCGTTGTACCATCCGGCTTTCTTCAGGTGATATACGTTGAAATTTATTGCGCCCACGGGGGTGGATTGTTTGTGGAATTAGAATAATCTACGTATGTAGATTAAAATAAATCTAATGCTAGGCAAACTCCTCAAAGATGAAGAAGAGTGAATGACTGGCCAAGCAGAGTCTAGTATCAATTCAGTTATGTGCCATGTGCAAAATACTACTTATCTGCAAACGCTTCTTTTGTTATTCCGTAAGCATTAATTTGGTCACAACACTAACATTCCCACGCTAGTTTTAACCAATCAAAAAACGACTTCCTCTGTTTTGTCTACCATCTGACCTTAAAAGTCAGCCTCAGAAAGTCTGACCCACTGCTATTTACCCATAGCCAGGGGAAGAAGAACATTCATACCTTTCCCAAGGGTATTAGCACGTAAGTGAATGTAATGGATTCAGCTGGAATTCGAGCTCGGCTCTCTGATTTCACAATCCGAGCCACTTTCTGTCAGTTATGTGCCATGCGTAATACACGCTTAGGCGATCATGTATCTTTCGGTACGTGACTGACGAGGTAGATTATTTTTCCGCAGTAGGTTGCCATTTCTTTCTGCGGTAGACCAGTTGCCATCCAAGGATAAAGAACCCGGTCTATCCTGCTATTTATCCATAGCTGGGGGGAGAAGAATATGATTCATACCTTTCCCAAGAGCATTAACACGTAAGTGAATGTAATGGACTTGACTGGAATTCGAACTCGGCTCTCCGATTCCTAAATCAGAGTCACTATAAAAGTTAAATCGTGCCTCATAAACGCAAATCTTTCTCAGATTCATTCATATCTACCTAGTTTCGTATCTTTTATATGCCATGTCCTTTTAGGACATGAGCGTTCATGGCTCTCCACAACTTCCTGTCATTTGTTGCTCTATGCAACTTTTTACTCTTTCAGTCAGTCAGTGATGTGCCATGCCTGATTCACGCTTAGGCGATCATGTATCTTTCGATACTTGATTGACGAGGTAGATTTTTCACCGCAGTACGTCGCCATTTATTTCTGCGGTAGACCTGTTGCCATCCAAGGCAATAGAACCCAGTCTGTCCTGCTATTTACCCATAGCTGGAGGGTGGGGGAGAAGAGGATTCACACCTTTCCCAAGGGTATGAGCACGTAAGTGAATGTAATGGATTCGGCTGGAATTCGAACTCGGATCTCCATTACTCCACAATGCCTTCTCTTAGTGTACAGGTTTTTGCAGCAAAATCCAACACTTGACAAAAAGAAAACGAAAAAGGCAATAAAAACAAAAGTTGTATCTGCAGATACCCGACAGTCTTCTTCATTTTCTTCTACAACTTCTTCGTCTCTTTTATCTTCTTCATCTTCTTCATTTTCTTCTTCTTTTTCTTCTTCTTCTTCTTCTTCTTCTTCTTCTTTGTTTCCCTCATCTTCTTCATTATCTTTCTTTTCTTCTTCTTACTCATCTCTTTCCTCTTCGATATCTTCTTCCTCTTCTTCTTCTTCTTCTTATCCATTTTATTCTCCATTTTCGTGTCCCGTATCTTCTTCATCTTCTTCTTTGTCCTCCTCTTTTTTTCTTCTTCTTCATCTTCTTCATTTTCTTCTTCTTCTTCTTCTTCTTCTTCTTCTTCTTCTTCTTCTTCTTCTTTATCTCTTTCGTCTCCCTCCTCTTCTTCATTTTCTTCATCTTCATCTTCTTTATCATCTTCATATTCTTCTTCTTACTCATCTCCTTCCTCTTCCTTATCTTCTTTTTTCTTCTTCTTCTTCTTCTTCTTATTATTATTATTATTATTATTATTGCTTCTATAAAAGACGAAAGAATATCTTCCAGAATTGTTTCAAGATAGCTCTGTTCAAATTCTACGCATCGGATTTTCTTGTTTCTTTCGCTTGATTCTTTCTGATTCGACGCTTACCCGTTTTATCTTTGTTAAGTAACAGATTTCAAGATTATTCTAAGTGAATGCCAGACTATATAAGAAGGGGATTAAACTTACTGCCCCTTCTGGGCGAGATTTACGTGAAATCTCGCGAATCAAGTCGGCAAATAATGGCGGCTTTACAAAACCACCTAATAACTTCTTTGAGCATTTGTATGCATCTATATTTGTGAAGATATATAGTTATGGATGGCTATTTTCTGCGTAGGCGTATAAGAATGTAATTGTGGCAGAATATATATATATATATATATATATATATATGTATATATATATATGTGTGTGTGTGTGTGTGTGTATGTGTGTGTTTTGTGTGTCTGTGAGTTGGTGTGTATGTGTGTGTGTGTTGTATGCATCTATATTTGTGAAGATATATAGTTATGGATGGCTATTTTCTGCGTAGGCGTATAAGAATGGAATTGTGGCAGAATATATATATATATATATATATATATATATATACACATATATATATATGTGTGTATGTGTGTGTTTGTGTGTTTGTGTGTCTGTGAGTTGGTGTGTATGTGTGTGCGTGTTTATATCGTTATATATTTGTAAATATCAGGATACATGTACATAACTAGACTCACATAGATATACATATTTGTGCATAATGATCGCATATATAGATACTTACAGGTATGCACAAACACAGACACACATACCGGATGTAAAAGCAAAATTGTCCAAATTATATGACGTCATAATAGTCCATCCCACATAATGTTTAATATCTAAAAAACTACTAAACTAATTGAGTTTCTTTTTCCCAGGTTTACGGATAAGACGTTTAGCCATCTTGATACCATTTGTCGTAAGATTCACTGAAAAACTCTTTGATTAATTCACCTAGAGAGAGAAGAGGTTAAAATCGTTTTGTGTCAGCTTCACTGTCTTTCCAACTGATGCTGAGAGGAAAAAGATCATTCAGGCCTTCAGTAATACTCTGGCTTCCATATTCAAAGCACATTCAAGAACCATCAAGAGAACGGTGAATAAGTTTTAAAAAGAGGGAACAATAGAGAGAAAAACTGGATTAGGAGGTCACAACAGAAAGGGGGATCATCATTTCAACTTAGAGCTATAGAGATCAATTAGAAAAGATCCAACTCAATAAATGCGTTCATTTTACCATCATTGTTATAAACATACTGATTTTACTTATATATATATATATATATATATATATATATATATATATATATATATATATATATATATATTGCACACTACACACAACACACACACATATATATATAGAAATTTGTGTGTTTAATTTAAAAATTTCAAAGTCTGACAAGCTCGTGTATATCATTGAAAGACGAAGGAAAATCATACCACAGCTCGTGACGTCATCACAAGACCACGCGATATGTATTTTTTTCAATATATCTAAAATCTCATCCAAAAAAATATTTCTGTTTGTGTTAAATGAAAAATTGCTGAGACAAAAAATAAACTCAATTAAAAATCATACCAATTAACAGTTGTGTATTATTTTTTTTCCTAAATGCATCATGAAATTTCAGGGTGAATTGCTGAGACAAAATATATATATATATATATATATATATATATATATATATATATATATATATATATACATATATACACACACACACACACACATATATATATATATATATATATATATATATATATATATATATAGATAGATAGATAGATAGATAGATAACTATACTAGTTTCGAAAAAACCTCGAATTTTTGATTTGCCAATAAT